GTGCTGGCTTAGGAGCATGCATATATTTGGCTCAGCTTTTTCTTTTCTGTGCTGTGTTTAGGTGAGACTTTATTTATTTGCTGTTTGCAATGTGCTGCCTTAGTTTTGCCAGCTGCTTTTTAGACAATACAGAATTTTTATTGCTTCATCTCTGCAGGATGCATCATCATGACCTGTGTAGAGGACATGCAGAAGGTATGTCCTACCTCTGCCAGTACAGTTTCCAATTTAAAAAGTCCCCTGTAACATTTTGGACTGTTATATGCTCACTAGCAATGAGCATTTTCCTTCTGCAAGGTTTTGTCTTGCCTCAACCTCCGTGGTCTCTAAAAAGTCTTGTTTATTTTATGTGTGTAAATTTAAAAAAACTGCAAGATAGGCAGTTAATGATGACCTGCTGCTTTGCCATTCATGAGGGGTATTCCATAGATATCACAGCTGGGACAAGTGAGGTCCTACAGAGCATTGGAATAGTTTAGATCATATTGTACCAAATCTGTAAGGAGTTTGTCCTGTGAATCCTATCCTGTGTTGGTGTGGCCATCTCTAAATTTTGAGCCAACACTGATCTTTGATCCTGTTCCTGAGGTAACTTCCCAATAGGACATATTACTTCAGTTTGTGCTTGAGTCACAGCCCCTGTCAACACCATCCAAAAACTCTTTAGGGCACCACATTTCCTACAAACCCTCACTCTTCCCCAGTGAAGTTCTTCCAGTGCAAATGCTGCTTCCAACTGTTTTCCACTGGATATATCCCAGCCTTCACTTACACAGGATTTTGGCAGATAGTGACTCCTGTCTCTGTGTCACTGTGGTTGGCAGCTGACATTTATGCATTTATAGAAGGGCGTATGAATCCCCACACAGTCCTAGGCAGGGGGAGGAACAGACCTGTATATGTGTATAGCTGTGGTGTTACGCTAGTCTGTGAAGTCATTTATCAGATCATTTGATGGGACATATTGCTATCTTTTGCCTTTTATTGTGCTGCCACAATTTCCAGACATCATATTTAGCCTTGGTTTCTTCCTTTTGAATGTATCCTCCGTGGCCTCTCAGAAGTTCTCTTGGGTACAGATTTGAAGCAATGGGAAAGGGGACCTAGAAGGCGCACCCAAAAGGTGTGGTGAGGGGAGGAGAGTAGTGGAGTGTGTCCCAGCCTCAGCGTTCTGGTTGGGTGCTACAACAGGAGCTTGTCAGAGAGATGATTTTAGCAAGGTTTACAGCAAGCCCAAAGGGAGAGGAGAGGCCACAAGCTGCATTCAAAAATAGACTGAGTAGCTGAAAACTGAGTGTACTTTTCAGCATAACATGTAAGTGTCCCTCACTAAGTAGGTTGTCCTTTTCTTCTTTGGACGATGTGGTGAGGCACTGGCTCAGGTTGCCCAGAGAAGCCGTGGATGCCCCATCTCTGGCAGTGTTCAAGGCCAGGTTGGATGGGGCTTTGAGCAACCTGGCCTTGTGGAAGATGTCCCTTCCCATGGCATGGGGGTGGAACTGGATGATCCTTAAGGTCCCTTCTGATACAAACCATTCTATGATTCTGTGATCGAAATACTCAACAGGAACAAAACTTTGATTAAGTTTTGTGGAGAAGATCCCATGAGCAATTCAGAACTGAAACATCAGGTTCAGCCTACTGTGACAGTTTCCTTCCAACTCATTTTGGAAACACTTGCTATCTTACCACTCATATCTGTAATGAAAACTAGAAAATAGCACAGTTTGTGGGACCCAACAACATCTGCTCTGTGACAGCCCATTAAAATTCCTGATGATACCCAATGTAACCAGCTATTGCCCCATCATCCTTTATGGACAGTGAATGGCAACTGTCAGAAGAAATATTTCTGGACACAGAAATGTGGGGTTTTGTTAGTTGTTATGTATCATCACCAAGCTGATTTTGTTAAGCAAATTTGGCACTAACAACCACCAATAGCTAATAAATTCGATGTTAGGTTTACAAGGTTCTGACAGATTGCTGGCAGCTGCCTTAAATGCAGGGAAGAGCTCTCCTAGTGTGGGTTGGAAATGCTTATTTATACCACACTGTGGGTCTTTTTCCCCCAAATTTTGCTGTCTTCTCTTAGTAGATGTCATTGGTGCAAAGTGGATAATAATTGATCAGAGATGTAGTATCCAGCTACACCAGAGATCAGCACAAATGCATTAAAGATAGTTAGCTCAAGCATAACGTATTACATTTCTACAGTAAGATACCTTTTCATTTATTTTTATAGTAAGAAACTTTTTCATCTATTTTTCATGCAAAATTTGTGGCAAGGATGTAGTAAGGCCTCACCATAGATTGTCTTATTTTACTTTGAGTTTTGGTGATTAGCTTTTCTATGCTAAGAAGGTTTTAAATATTATGAAGGCATTTAATATAAACTTGATGTTTATTGGTTTTTATTGGTGTGGAAGAGACTGGCTGTACAACTGGCTACTACTAAGTTTGTTCTTAGGCTTCATTTTAGCATGTCTTAAAAGCAGAAGATGATATGCTGAGAAGTAGGCATAGGCTTCCACAGCTTAGAAGTTGATCAGACAGAGGTTGTCTTTAGATCAGGGAAAACCAACTTAGAAGAAAACCTTGGAGAGCCTGAGTGCTCAGTTGCAGTAACAGAGCATGTTAGGTAATCAATCACAGACATTTAAGGTAATCAAAACCATGAACAACCACTTTTTAGTGGTAAATGGTGCCAAGAATGTATACAGAAACTGAATAAGCTGAAGTCTCATTGTGAAGATGAGTGCAGTCCAAAAATTCCCAATTGCACAATGGACTGTGGAAACCACAAATATGTTTGTATAACTGAATTCAAATTTTGGTATTCACTGCATTTTATCATCTCTCATTTACTTGGAAGAAGAATCAAGAATCTGTTCCAACACTGTCACTGTGTGTAACTGAGTCTTTGACAAACCTCTGACCATGAAGTCAATGCTGAGTGAGGGGAACAGGAAATTAAAGGAGTGGGCAGTTCCTTCTAACTGGAAAAGAGCAGATTAAGACAAAAAGTTGAAGAATTTTACAGTGTATATAAGTCAGGCATCACTGATACACAATTTTCTCTTCAGATGCGGTGGAAGGATCTCTGGACAGTACAAGACTGGTGGTGAGAAATTCAGGTTAACTATGCTGCAGTGCCCAACTTGATCTACAGTTGTGGAATTTATCCTGGTTTTAAGAGTCAGATGGTCAGCACTTTCCATCTCTGACAGAGCATTCTCCTCTCTTCCTGTCAAAATGCCTTACAACTCCATGGAAAGACTTCAGAAATAGATATAATTTTCTTTATGCCAGTACACCAAAAAAGCTTTCCTTCCTTAAAATGGAAAAATAGAAGAGTCTAGAAATATATACTGATGCCATACAGCAACTCTAAAAAAGTTGCTGACAGCATTTCACACAACCAAAAAAAATACTTAAAGTGAAGCACTAGATGCTGTTTTGGAAAGTGTGTGGGTGATGACACCAAGCATTATGCACCATAATGAACTTTCACAGAAAATGGATAAAGCACAAAAACATCCCATTGTCATTATAACAGACACGTGGTGCTTGTTTTGGGTCTGTCTCCTGAAAGTGTCATGCAATGCTCACTAGGCCTAGTACCGGGAAAGGCAGAGAACTACCATACCCCAGGTTGCCTTTTCAGTTCCTCTTACATCTTTATCAATGGCCATCATATCTCTTCTCATGTCTCTCTTTCGGGCTGAGGAGTCTTAGTCTCGCCCTTGTACAGAACCTTCCAGAACTCTGATTATTTTTGCTTCCGTTCTGTGAGCTGGACTAAAAACGACAAAATACCACACTATATTTTATATAGAGGCAAAGTTTCAGATGTATACAGTCCTCATGAAACAGGATACTCTCCGCTCTGTTCTCACGTCCTTTGCTAATGCTTTCTAACAGGTAGTTTGTTTTCTGACCACTGCCAAGTATTGAGCTACTGGTTTCAAAAGAACAGTTATGCCCCAAGGTCACATTTGTGTGTGTAAGATTTAACGCAGAGCCCATTAGTGACAGTAATCCCAGGGTTGTTCTTCCCTTATGTGCATAATTTATTTAGGTTTACTTACAGTGAATTTCACAGAGACTGTCTCTGTTACTATTTCTTGCACTGAATTACCCCACTGCTTTATTAATGGTAATTGCCCTTCTCTTTCAATTTGTCCAGCTGACAGACAAAGTACAATTGTTCTGTACACCATTTACTGCCTCTCTGTCAGACCTCATGAAGGTACCATATGCCCAAAAGGTTTGGTGATTTTCTCAAGTGATTTAACAAAATACATCGCTTCTTTGTAGAAATATGAATTTCTGTCTGTCCTCTGGATTCTCCAGAAACCCATTGTTAGTGTGAAGTACACTTCAAGGCTTGTGCACCTCTCCAGCTGTGAGCAGAGTGCTCTGTCTGGGGCAGGAACAGGACGGGCTCAGCTGCTCAATTTTTTTCCTGATAAATACTACTTTGAAATACAGGTTAAACTGCTATTGGGAATTTACAACTCCCATAGCAGGGCAAAGAAGATCTTTGCAGCTGCCTCTGTGCATTTATATATATATATATTTAAGGGTAAATCAAACAAACAAGTATCTACGGTGATTCCTTCTCACAAAAAGACATTTGGTACTGTGACTGCAGTTTTCTGACCATAAATGTCTTGATGGCCTGGGGAGACCATGTCACATGTCCTTCCTCACTAGACAAAGAAGGGAAATGTCTGTATTACAATATAGATCTTTATTTTCTTAAAAAATATCAGCTGAATGAAGAGAAAATGCATTAGAGAAATGACAGATCTGCATAAACTGAGTAAACAGCAGTGTTAAACCCGTGGCATTTGTTTCACCTGGCTGTGTGTAATCTGGATGACAGGTGTGTCCTTGTGTGCTTAGGATGTAACGTTTCCCCTGGCACTCAAGCAAAAGAAGCAATACTGATGCAATTTGTAAAATGGGAAAAAGTCTTGACTGTTTTGTCTTACCTTTTTCAGAAGCCGGGGCAAGGTCAATAAAACTTCGACATTTTTCACCTTTAAAAGAAAAGGATTATTTTAGGACATCATAGAAGTGGATTGGTTTTGCTCTGCCTCCTCTTTTTGACTGGTGTTTCTGCCACCTGAGTCTCTACAGGACCACAGAGAGAGCAGAAATTTACCTGTGCCTCCAGCCTGGACCAAAATCGCAATGCTCACAAGGCTGGACTCTCCCTGAGGATGACAGTCCCTTCATCGGGAGTATGAAATACAGTTAGTGAAGAAAAAAGTGGTTTCTGATGGCTGGTCCCTGCGGGGTCAGTGATGCCCCTTCCCAAGGCTGGGAGCAGTGTTCTCTCCAAATGGACTGATATTGTGCAAAGCACTGCAGGGGTTTGCGCTGGGAGGGCACTGGCCTCTTTCACCAACACTTTGCCCTCCTCCTTCGCATTGTCAGGACCATGCCTGTGCACCACCAGGGTGTGACCCAGCCTCCCAGTGCCAGGAAGCATTGCCATGGGTACAGACATCTCCACAGATAGATATGACATATGTGACTAAGACAGACAAACCTGGAGCACAAAGCAAGATAAGCAATTGCATAGCATTAAAAAAAAGTGTTAAAAAGGCAGGCAAATGCCTCGCTATGACCATCGCAGCCCTGAGCCACTCCCTCTCCTTTGTGGCTGCTGCATCCATTTATCACTGTAAATTAAATTCTCACTGTTTAGGTCCCCACTTCCGTTTTTGCAGGCATTCTTGAAAAGCCTATTGCTTCTGAGCAGGAAATGTATCTTAAGGGTGGATGTTTTGACCTTTCTTTTTACTTCTTCAGGCAGTCAGAGATTATAAAGTAAGTCCTCTGCTTTAGGTGCATCCATCCACCAAGTGTGTTTCCTTCAACATGATATGTTCCAAGATGACCAATAGCCTGCCTGCCCTGAGGAATCAGAGCCCAGCATGCCTGACAGAGGTAATGGAGAAGAATCCGTTTTGCCCTTCAAGACTAATTGGTGCAAAGATACAGCACTAGGATTTTTTAGTAGCTTTGCTCAATTTTAATTGCACAGTCAAAAGGCTGATTTAGGAAATGTGAGCTATTAAAAAAGAATAAACAGTGAAATGCTGTAGTGATGTTGGAATCAGTGTGTAATTTCTTCTTGGTTGTAATTAATTATATGTACAAACCAATATAAAATGTTAATCTTTCTGGTATCTTTGTTGCCAGGATTGAGATAAACATAACCATTCAAATGATAGCTGTGCTGAAATAACAATCTATTATTATAATGTTATTACTACCGCTTTTTGTTTACTTTTTGCAGTTTTAATCCCATGCTAAATATGCTGAAAAGTGTTGTGTACATAGTCTGTAGTCTGTTTGTGCATGTATGAGTTCCTATAAAAGAAAAGGTTCACTTGACATTGAAATGAACATTTCAATATCTCCATGGCAGGGGGTAGGATTTCTACTCTCTGCATTCAGGCACTGCCAAGAGGACAGTCAAGGGAAAAGGAAGTGACACCACTTATCAAAGCACCATCTCTGTTTCCAAAACGGTAGGTAGGCCAGTCTATATCTGAGAAAAAGGAGTGTTAGGTGAGTAAGTTATTAAGTTTTGGGGCAGACAGACTGAAAGATATCTGATGGATGACAGAAATCACAGCATCACAGCAGCATTGTGTTGACAGGACCCTGCAGGTCTCCTGTTCAGCCTCCTGTTCAGAGCAGGACTATTGCTAACACCTGATCAGGTCAGCTGTGACTTTTCCCAGCCAAATATTGAAATACTTCAAGGATGATGATGCCCATTATTGAGTGACTCCAACTTCTCTAGCTGTTCTGTCATATAAGTAGTTATCCTTTCTTTATTTGTAGGTACAAGAACAAGACCAACCCCCTCAATGTCTTTGCATGTGTAGTGTACTTGAGGTCCCTGACCAAGAAATTCAGAGAAATAGTTGGACTATAAAAGACTCTGTGTTCTAAGCATGAATCGTTCTCATCCAGAGACTCTAAGTTTTACGGTATGAGGTGTGTCAGGAATGCATTGACTTAAAATCAAGTGACTACAGTGCAAGTCACCTTTAAATTTGGACCTGATATCAAGGAGATTAAGCACAATTTTTCATTCTAGCCATATGGATCTGTGTTTGGGGTTTGGTTTTATGGTTTGGTTTGGGGTTTTTTTCAGATGGAAGTTACTACTTTTATCACAGTCTTATTTTAACCTGACTTTAGACTAACTGGGTAGCATTGAGTCATCTCTCACCTGTGGTTGCAGTGAATCTGAAGCCATATTATTTAAAACCTTTAACAAATACCATGTTATCCCAAGACAGCCGAAGGGGAATGGTGTTTGATACTACAGAAACTGCACAGCTCATCCAAGAGCTGGAGATACGTGGTGCTTTTCAGATACATGTCAAGGTACAAAGCCTCTCTAACACACGTGGGTACTGAGGAAACTGATGGTACCACGGTGTTTGGCTGCAGGTGCCTTGTCTGCAGGACAGATGTAGAGAGTGTGATTACATGCTATTTGGAGGAATGTGCATCCTCATCCTTCCTCAAATCACCTTGCCCAGAACACCATTTCTCCCAGAACAGCTGGCTGTGGCTGAGGCCTCCAATTTAGATAATATGGACTGAAAATGCTGCAGTGTCCAGAAAAAGGGTTTTTGGTGCCATAGCACAAAGAATGGCTGTAGGCTGGAGACACAGAAGCCCGGAAGGGGGTCACATCACTTCCAGCGGCTGATGTCTGGATTGTGTCTGGACTACTGCAAAAAGTTGTGGTAGGAACTGCACAAGTAGCTCCTGGTGAAGAACACTTCCCATCATTATTCCTGTTGCTGGATCATTGGAAACCTCTCCTCCATTTCAGTGGTAACCACTGGTGGTATTTATACACCACATTCATACTTCAACATGCAGACATGCATCTCACTGAGAACTGAAGATGTCAGTAGTGCTTTCACTGTTCCTCTTAGGATTTATTCTAAGTTATTTTTGGGTATCTTGTATAACTGATCTCTTAAGCCCTCTTAAGTTTAATTTTAGACTTGGCAAGAGTTTATCCTGCTGTGCTGCCCTTTTCCAGATGCATCTTCTCCTCATAACCATGCTCCTGGGGAGTCTTTAGAGAATACAGAAAAGGCTGTTTAGAGATGCAACAAGAACAGTGTTTAGGTTTCATCCACCTGATAGTCCTGCCGCCCATTTGTGGCAGCAATTCTGACAGAGGAGAAAGCCAAGGAATGATCTCTTCTGCACATAACTGACACAGAAAGGACCGCCCTGGCTTGAACGCTCTCCACTTCCATGAAGGAACAATGGCCATGTACAGTGCATATGAAGCTCGCTGGAGCTCAGCAGCATCAGAGAGCTGCTGGAGGCTGAGGAGAAAGGACTGACCAACCACCTAAGCACCAATAAGAGCTTCTTCTATGGCTTCCCAAGGGTGAGGTAGAAACGTCTATGCAAGCCCTTGCAAATGCATTCCTTTATAACCAGGCTGGCTCGGCACAGGCTCAGTTGTGTCTCTGCTGGGCTACCAGAGAAGGGGGCATGGGTCATATGGACTTCTAGGACTGGGTACCAGTAACAGCCCAAAATTTGTTTGTGTTTTTCTCTAATCTGAATTAATTAATCTAATCCTGGATATGTGTATGTTTATGTGTTATTTGCTAGGGAACTTCAAACCGAACTAGCCAGAGAGTGGGAGGAGAGATCTGGAAAGACCCAAGGTCTGAGCTGGGTAAGAGTCTTGAGGTCTCGGTATGGATGATAGATTTAGAGCCCATGGTAATATCTGAGGTATCATTAGTGTGATGTGCTTGTGCATCTACAGAGAGAAAGGGTGTGCATGTATCAGTAGTGATCTGCAGACCTGCTCAGCCAGAGAGGAGGAAGAGGAATGAGCTTGCTGATGGGAGTGATGTTGTGTTTCTGTGCTGTTTTGCACAGCTCTCTCTGGGTTGGTCTGTGTGGTCACAGTGTCACGCATGCGTGTGTGTGCACATGCACGTGCACGTGCATTCATCTGCATCTTGAATATGTGCCTAGCCTGAACTGGGAGGGACACCAACAGCAAATCATCAAAAGAGGAGAAATTCCCTGGGTCTTAAAGTCCCCTGGGCTCAGTTTCCCAGGAGCACACACAGCATTTCCTCAGACAGGCTCATTGAGAATTTTCCCATTTCATGGCTCTGCAGCTATGGAAGCTCCTGCAGCAATGCAGGTCAAATGCTTTTGAGCTCCCTAGTAGTTTCTACTGAAGAAAGCTTGGCTTTGAGTTCTGTGTATTCTTAGGAAACAGTGAAGATGTGGATTTTATCACTGTGTCAGTGCCAGGGATACAGAGAGAAAGTTGTGGCAGCATAATGAGATGATCTCTCTGTCTTGCTTCCAGCATGAGGCCAATACTCTTTCTTCTCTATCTGCTGCTCACAGCATGGTGGGAAGTCCTGAGCTTCAAGCCCTTCCAAGTCTTTGGCACATACTTGTCATGAAAATTGTCTCATGTCTGCAGAATCAAATCATTTCAGGAAAAAGTAGGATGCCGTGTGAAAAGCAGGCACTAATCTGACAGAGCTGAATTCTGGAGAAAGTAAATGAGCTGGTAAGAGTAAGGCTGCTTCAAGGGATGGGAAGGAGGCACTGCAGAACACCGCTAATGAGCAGTCGCACATGTTGGAGGGGTTACCCATGTGTCCTGTCACCTCAGATAGGTAGACCCAGACACCTCCCTTTCCCTAGCATGTGGAGGTAGTGTGGTTGCTTTCTTACCTTCTCCACTGAAGGGTCCTACTTCATAGTGTCAGACACACTTTGTACAGCTGGGACTCTGCTGGAAGCAAATGCTTGTTCCTTTTACTTTTCTCAGGCAGAGTTCAGAGGCATCTGTACCTCCCTAGCCCAAACAATAATTTGAAAGCAAAGGCTAAGAAAGAGAAGTGGTTTTTCCAAATCCTCCAAATTCAATCCTGCCAGAAAGTTGAGACAAATGGATCCCATAAAGCCACAAAGTCTGCATGGTATACTGGCCCCAGGG